AAGAGGAGCCGGTTCATGGTCACGCACCAGGCCAATCACTCCCGGGCTCTGCACCGTAAGCAAAAGAGATAAGAGCACTTTTGGCTACTGTTGCGCAGAAATAACTCTGAACTGAGAACTAGTATCTGTTGGGAAAGTGCTGGCTTTATACTGGGCCTGAGCCTTGGTTAATAGTTACCCGCATCATTTAGTAAACATGTATCTTTAGGTAATTAAGTGGAAGACATGGGTTTTGGAAAATGAGCTTGGTCTTGCAGGTAATGACAAGAAACACTGCTAATAACAAAACAAAACAAAAAAGCGCCACAGATAGAACAGGAAATTAGGTTGCAACACAGAAAACCAGCGCACACGCAAATGCCTTTTCAGCTCCGAGGAAAAATCACCATGTTGCAAAAGACGATCTCCTATCAGCAGCCTTTCGTGGACCCAAAGACAACTAATCTACTAAAATTCAAGTCTTGAGAGCTAGAGAAAACTATACTTTAAATGAATCAGAAATCATTAGCAATTAAAAAAATAACTAAAATACAGTAAAAAAAAAAAAAAGCACTTCACTTTTAAAATATATTAATTTCTTAGGAATCTTTAAAATGTCCTTTCTATATAACGCTTTGGGCTAAAAAAAAAAAAAATAAGTGGTCTGATTTAAATATTTCACCTTATAAATGCTCCGTAAACCTTGACAGGTTAGTGAAAACTGCGCTCAAGTGTTACAATAAATTAAGTCATCAGATATTTATGGACACCTGCTAAACGCGAGGTGCTCAGTTAGTAGCTATATATAAACATGAACTGTTATAACAAGTGGGAATAAGCCAGGTCGGCCTCGAGCTTAAATCAAGAGAATGAAGTACGTGAAGGAGTAGAAATATATTGTTATTTTTATTTCATTTCAAAGATTAGGTGATCACATGACTGTTGAGTATGCTAAATTGGACTTGGACGGCCACGGGATAATGAACAGAAAGCACCTCGAATGGTATAAGAAGCCCATTCAGTGCAATTTATTATTAGAACTAATAATTTAAAACAACATCAGTGGGACACCAGTGCCTTCCAGGATATACCAACAGACAGACATTAAATAATTTCCTCTAGACCGAGTTTGTTGAACTTCATGACCACTGGGCCCAAGAAGTAATTAATTCGGTCGTTCAATAAATACGTAATTGAATGTTTTTTACGTAGGCCAGGCACTTCTCTAGGTGACTGAAATACATAAATGAGTAAAACAGACCCAAATTCAAGCCCTTGTGATGCTTCAACA